AATCATCTCCAACGCAACAGCAAGAGAAGACCAAACGGCAACACAAGCAATATGCACGCACCAGGGAAGTGCAACAAAATATCGAGAAGACAAGACACTGCAGCAGCCAGGCAAAGCTGCAGACTCATGCAAGGCGAAGTTGATGACGGTTCACGTGCTAGTTAGGGTTTATGGCACGCGCTGGCCTAAGGGCCCAACCCACCCCAGCGCGATCCGACCGTTGTTGCTGTTGTTGTTGCTATCATTGCAGTTGCTGCTGTTGTTGTTGTGGCTGCCGCTGCTGCTGTTGCTGTGGTTGTTGCCGCTGCTGCTTCTGCTGCTGCATCTGCAAAAGTTCGAACCGGCATAACAATGAGTTTTGAGAAACGAAACAACACTCTCAACACAAAAGTCACTGGAATGCCAACAGTAAGAACAACGCCGGTGGAATTGTCAGAAGAATGCACCAGTTGAAGAGCAAGAAACCGCGATCAAGAAACCGCGACCAAGAAAACAATGGCCAAAAGGAGATTCCTGGCCCTTCACACCAGGCCCCAAGCGGAATAGTCATCGCAGCTCCTGGCAGCACGAGGAGGTCGGGTGAACTGACCGCCTTTAGGTTCCTTTGTGGGAGTGCTTGGGGCCTTCGTACACATGCTCTGTCGCCGCAGCGTTCCGGGTGTTACGTGAGCGTGGAACGCCATTGCGAACAAGCAAAGTCAAAAGGAAGAATGTCATGGAGACCCTGGGCCGTGAACACGGCGACCTGGTACTCAGGCTTGCAAACCCAAGAAACTCTGCAGCCCCAAGAGACAAGTTCAGGGGCGCTGGGACATGCTTACTCTACCAGTTGCAACATCGCAGATAGAAGCCACTACGGCTTGGCCCTATGCGGCTTCTACTAAACCCGGACACATGAAACCATACCACCAAGGGCAAGATGAAATCAGGCAGCCCTGGGCCCTCAACTGCTAGTCATTCAGCTTTGCGACCTCGCAGACTTCAGGTTTACAATGTGGGGTTCAGGGTGCCCTCTCCGTTGTTTAAGACCAAAACCTAGAAAGAAGATTCGTGGCAAGTCGCAGTAAACAGAGCAGAGCACGAATGCCGCACTCAAACCCCAGACCCTCAACTCGTGGCTGAATACTATCAATCTATGATAAAACTAATATCAATAACCGCAACAGCAACATGAACAACAATGACATGCGTGCAACAGTAACGATAACAACAACGGTTAAAAGCAATAACACTATGATATCAATAGTAATTAGTAACAGTAATAAGCATAATAACAATAGTAACAACAATGACAACAGCAACAACAAGAAGAACAATAAAAAGATGAATAACCACAACCACAACCACGACGACGACAACGATTGCAACAACAATGATCACACTAGTAAAAGCAGCAAACCTGTAGGAATAATACGTGCAAAAAGAAGTAGCAGTAGTTGTAGCAATGACGGCAATCATAGCTATCGTAATAGTACTCCCGGTAAACACATGGACTAAAAGAGTTAACAGTAACAACAATAAACAACCAAAAAAAATAGACTAATAAAAACAATGATGATACAAGAGGCTTGTAACCACTCCGAGCGCATGCGATGTATTCTTTGATTATAACTGAGTGCCAAAGTGCCTGCGTTTGACTGAACCGCCTGCCAAAGTGCCCTCGACCCCCCGCCTAAACAACTGAAAGCCCCAAAACCTTCCTGCCGTAAAAAACCCGAACCCCAAAATTCCCAGGGCAATAATATGATAAGTAACCCTAAAATAATATAGGCAATTATTTAGACCCCAAATATTAGAAACACCGGAACCCCAACTTGGAGCCCGAAAACCCTACAGAACACCAAACCGGCCTGTAGTCCAGCCTGTGAAAGATCCGGATGCCCTGGCTCTAAGGAGCTTTCTGGTGTTTATTGTCATTTAGGGTGTTTGGTTTAGCTTGTTGGTTTTCAGGGGATTTAACCCATCTACAGCTAGGCATTGAGATCGGCTTGTAGCTGACTCAGAATGCTGTTGAAGTGGCCGCTGGCGTCAGACTATGTATCTACTCTGAAGAGGCCGCTGAATGCAGCAGAAAGCGGCTGCTAGCCCTGTGCTTAAAACCTTGCGCCGTACACCCCAAATCCATACTAAACCTTAAACCCTGCATAAACCCTACATAAACCCTACACGACCCAAAACTCAAAGCGGCACCAACGCATGCCCTAATCCCCAAACCCTAAACTCCAGACCCTAACTCAAATCCCGAAACTTAGCCCCTGAACCCGGAATCCCGCAAACCCGAAACCCGAAACCCTAAACCGCAAACCCTAAAACCACAAACCCGAAACCCTTAACCCCAAGCCCTAAACCCCAAGCCCTAAACCCTTAACCCTAAAACCCCAAGCCCTAAATCCTAAACCCCCAAACCCTAAAACCCCAAACCCCAAACCCTCAAACCCCAAACCCTAAAACCCTAAGACCCTGAGACCCTACGACCCTGAGACCCTAAGACCCTAAGACCCAAAACCACCGGCCCTGTTCGGAATCCCTTTGGGCACCCGGGCCCAGAATCCAGGGCCTGCCAGACTCCCGCGCCTGTGGCAGCGGGAGGACCCATCACCTCAAAGCTTCAGGGTTTAGGGTTTAGGGTTTAGGGTTCGGGGTTTAGGGCTTTAGGATTTTTGGGGTTTAGGGCTTCAGGATTTTTGGGGTTTAGGGCTTTAGGATTTTTGGGGTTTAGGGCTTTAGGATCTTTGGGGTTTAGGGAACTGGATTTCTGGTGGTTTAGGGCTTTAGGATTTTTGGGGTTTAGGGCTTTGGATTTTTGGGGCTTAGGGCTCTGGATTTTTGGGGTGCAGGGCTTTGGACTTTTTGGGTTTGGGGTGTTAGACTTGTAGGGTTTTGGATTCTAAACTACTTTAGGGTTTGGGGTTCAGGGTTTGAGAGTTACAGGGTTTGGGATTCTAAGCTTCGGAGTGTGGTATCTTCGGGGTGGACGCCTGTGGCTTGCAGGCCAGGCTTCTGGGGCTTTTGGGGTTTAGAAGGAAATTTTGTTTCGTGTAGGGTTTAAGTGTTAGGGATGCCTGGCGCTTGAAAAGCAATCTCTGGAGGTTGCTGCAAGGGGTGACTGCATTACATGACTCGATTAGCATCAGGAGCTGTACGGCTTCGGGCTTGTTCAGTCGGTGCGCTTCGGGCTTCAATGCACAGCCAAAAGCTGCACTCAAAACACAAACGAAAGTTTGATCGGTGAGTCATCAACAAGCCACGCTACGAGGAGATACTGCAAGAAACTATTGTTCTGACATAGATGTGAACTCCCGACCCAAAGCAGCCTCGGAAAAGAAAAAGAGAGGCATCGCAGGAGTTCGCACATGCATTCCCACTAAATCCGAGCTGGACTCGCATTTCGTTTACAGCACCGCAAGCAGAAATTGCTGGCTGATCTGCTCAAAAGTTCCGGATTTGCAAGTTGAGCACATGACCGGCGGGCCTCGCTGCAAGGAAATGAAAACCTTCCTAAAGCCACCTGGGTCCCCGCAAACACCTATGGAGAAAGCGACCAGAACAGTGCTTAACAATCAGTGATGATGATGATGGTGATGATGATGATGATGACGGTGATGATGATGATGATGATGATGATAACGATGCTGACGACCATGACGGTGATGGTGATGAGGGGAGGAGGACGACAGAAGTAATATCGCGACCACTGGTTAGCATGCTTCTTCACCCATGGTTTTCCGCTTGATCCTGCCTCTTTCAAACACCACGCATATCGAAGCCCAGTTGCAGCTACAGGCGTCACGTTCGTGGCTACCGTCGCCGTTGGGATCTCAGCAGCAAATATACTGGGCTGAGTCTTCACGGCTTCCTTTGAATCAGGCTGCGTGCCGTTCTGGATCCAAGAAAGCACGTTTTGAGTTTCCCCGGAGAAGAGAAACACTATGGCTATCTTGAGATTATTGGGGACTTGAGATTATTGGGGACGAGAAGCCTAAGTTGTGCATGCTCCCTTGGCTTTGGCTTCGACGCAAAGGCTCAAGAGAAAAACACTTGACAAGCCGACCCTTACTCTAAGTGCTGTTATTCTTGAAGTTTTGCTGTCTTACCGCTCTACACAACCTAGTGTTCTTGGGAGTCACGAACCTTCTTGCTCTCATCTTGAGCACACGACAAGTTTCTGCCTCGTCTCACACTTATCTCCAGACACTCATCGATCTTTTTATGTTCTTGCTTTTATACTATTCGCCATATGGTTAGGAGTCGTCATGCTGGCAGTCACTGCCGGGGCACAGAGAAAGCAGTAGCAGCCGCCGCAGTCGTCATCGTCATCGTCATGGTAGTGCTGGTGCTGGCGCTGGCGTTGGCGCTGGTGCTGGTGCTGAAGGGTTGAAGCATCCACGTAGTTGTGGCCAGTAGCAGCAGTAGTAGCAGAAGGGTAGCATTGGGCAGCTGTGGCTGTACAAGTAGCAGGTAGGAGTCGCAACAAAGGGAACAAAAGCTGCAGGGCAAGAAGTTGTCGCAGTGTGCCTGGGAGTGCTCGTAATTCTAGTCCAAAAAACCCTAAACCCTAAAACCGGAAGGTCCAGTGTTCCCAATATTTGTCGTATGATCTTATGCCTTTCTTTCTGTAGGCTCCCGGCTCCAGTACCCATAGGCCAGTTCGTCAACACGGCGTTTGAAGCGGACCAAGGAGTGCCTCGGGCAGACATAGGGTTGAAAGTTGAGGGTTTTGGGTTTAGGGGTTTAGAGACTAAGGGTTTTTGGGGGTTTAAGGTTCAGGGCGGCAAGGGATTTCGGTTTGGGATGTGGGGCTTCGAGCTGCGAGGTCTTGCAAATATCGGTTGTCGGAGCTTGGGGCTCGCGACTTTTAGGTTCTCTGTGTCGGATTGAGGCTTTCGGTTGAGATTCTTGGGCCGGTTTAGGCTGGGAGGCTTCGAGTCTCCGATGTCGAGTTTAGGGTTTAGGGTTTAGGGTTTACGGTTTAGGGCTTACGGTTTTGGGTTTTGGGTTTAAGGTTTAGGGTTTAGGGTTGGCCTAGACTTGATGGTTTTGAGGTCTGGGCCATGAGGAACCACAAATCAAAAAATGCCAGGCTGCAAGAAAATCCAGCTCAGTTTCGGAAACGGGAAGAACAGTTGTGTTAGCGCACACCTCAACCAGCAAAACAGAACGTGGAGTCCAAACCAAAAATGCCCCAGCCAAGCCAACAGCACCCACAGGCTGCCAAGGCCACTCATATGAGTCCAAAATGCTCGCCACACTGTAATGCGCGCGCAGGGCGCTGTGCCGGGAGCACGACGTCGGCAGTTGGAAACGGAGGCGGGAACGCAAGGAGACCGGTGGAGTTAATTGCTGTGGCCCAGTCAGGACTTCAGCGGCTTCGAGACATTTGGAAGCCAAAATGAACGCCGGGCTGGCGGCGCGAGCGCGAATTCCGCCCAGAAACATACTTACAGTAACACCAGTAATCATCAAAACGGTAAGCCCGATGATGACGTACGACGACAATGGCCCAATTGATGACGTAGGACGACAATGGTAGCAGAAACATAGCGATTACAATCGTAAACCTGCAGGCGGGCCTGAAGATGCTGCGTGGACAGAACCACTCGCAGCAGAGCTGCCTCAGCTGAGTCGGTTTGTTGCAGCCGCAACAACGACGGCAGCACCCGGGGTGCATGCATGATGTCCAGGAGAACATGCAAAAAGTGCAGGAACGACATGGAGCAGGTGACTACTTGCAGCTGATGTACACTACGGCCGTAAGCTACGACATGACAAGTTCATGGAATGATGTTGACCATGACGATACTGCGGATGCTTCTGCTACGAACCACGTGGATAGTGAAAAGGCAATGATGGCAAGGCTGATGATGACGGAGATGATGACGCTGATGCTGATGATGACGATGGGATCATGATGATGATGATGATGCTGCTGATGACGCTGATGATGCTGATGCTGATGCTGCTGATGCTGGTGATGCTGATGCTGATGCTGCTGATGATGATGATAGTGATGATGAAGATGATGGTGATGATGATAGTGATGATGATGATCATGATGCTGCTAATGCTGGTGCTGATGATGCTGATGATGCTGATGCTGATGCTGCTGATGCTGATTATCCCGATGATGGTGATGATGATGATGATGATGATGACGACGACGACGAGGATGATGATGATGATGACGATGATGGTGTTGATGGTGATGGTAGTGATGATGATGATGATGATCGTGATGATGATGATGATGACGACGATGATGACGACGACGAGGATGATGATGATGATGATGATGACGATGATGGTGTTGATGGTGATGGTGATGGTGATGATGATGATGATGATTATGATGATGATGATGATGATGATGATGATCGTGATGATGATGATGGTGATGATGATGATGTCGATGGTGATGATGGTGATGTTGGTGATGATGGTGATAATGATGATGCTGAGCATCAAGCTGATAATGCTGAGGACGATGCAGACGAGGCTGACGAGGCTGATGTGAATGAGGATGAGGATGAGGATGAGGAGATGATG